AGTTGGGGCGATGATCGATCGTGCTGTCTGGGCCGGGGTGGGGTGCTACGGGTGTCTCTGTGGGAGTGCTCGTATCGCTGCCGACCGTCACAAGTCTCGGGGTCCGACGAAGACGAGTTGGGTTCTCGTCGCTCGGCCGTGGGATGGGCTCGTTGCGCGACCCTCGCTTGCCGATGCTCGTCTGGCTGCCGACACTCCGAGCACGGTGGACGGGGCCAGAACCGGGCTATGGAATCCCAGGGGACCACGAGTAACCGGTGGTAAGGGAGGGCGGTATAGTAGGGAGGGATGTCAGTGGTGATGGGAATGAAGCCTGGGGTTGGAAGATATTGCTGGTTTCGACTGTCGGGATAATCAGGAATCCGCGAGTCGCGGTTGATTGCCAGTTGGAAGTCGCCCCAGCACATTCGCTCGTTTTCAGTCCGGCAGGGGTACTAAAGGTACCCAGGGTTCCGTAGGTGGCGATGTTGTCGGATTCGCTGTCGGCGGATCTGTTCCCTCTCCCAATACGCTCGATATTCTGGGTCCCTCAAGCTTTCGCGATCAGTGATCCAGAAAGGGGAATCTATTGCCATGTCTTGTTCAACCGAATTCATGCACACACATCTTTCTACGGAGCGAGGTCGTAGCTGGCTTTTGTAGGCGCGCGTGTAGATGGCAAGTCCGCGGACGGCTGCTGGCTTACACGCGCGTATGCACCGGCCAGCTGGTCAGATCCTAAACTGCGCAAATGATCAAGGAACGATCCGTCAGCGTACCGGTTCAATCATGAAGCTAGTTCCCTCAGGCTATCAATCTTGTTCCGTTTTAGACATTCATAAAGCATGCACCCCCAACGGTCCCCATATGGCGTCGGGACCTTAATTTGTTCCGACCCGTATCGCAGATGGAGATTCCGTCATCCTTGTCGAGATCTGTCTTGCTAAGTCCATTCGGGGTTGTGGGCCGGCCTCGTGGGTGCGCGTGTAAGTCGCGCTCGTCAGATCGCAATTACACGGGGACTCGCAGGGTTGGTCCGCTGTGGATCGATCTATCAGCCAATCACCTATGCAAAAAGAAGGTTTATGTAGTCATGCAATAATCTCTCAGCCATTTTTGTTCAAGCAAAAAGCAGTTACGTGGCCATCAGGGGGATATCTCATCGCCATCCAGACACACATCGAAGCACCGCAACAGCATCAAACTCCTTTCACCTACCAATCATCCGGGTGATAATAGATCGGCGCTGCGAGCATTGGATGATTCAAGATGACACACAAAACATCGGGTATTCGAGCATTACAAGATCATCCGACCCATCTCATCAAACGAATGCAAAACGAAAGAGGAAGAACAGAGATTGAGTCGTACATCACACAAAGCCGAAAGAAATGTCAAAATGCAAAACAAGGGCGTCTCGGCCGGAGCCAAAATTTTAGTCAAAAGGACTGAGAAACGACAAAGAAGATTGCAATCCCACATCCGTCTCTCTCTCTCTCTCTCTCTCTCTCTCTCTCTCTCTCTCTCTCTCTCCGATGCGGACAATCCGTCGTCTCGCACCCACTAACGAAGTTGTCACCTCGCTTAGTCCGCATGCGCCCGTCAGGTTTGCCCGTACGCCACAGTCCGTCGTGGCCTACACGTCAACCCCGCGCACCTGGCACCAGCTCGTCGGGTCGCCCAACTTCCACATCAACTCACCTCTCACTTCGCTTATTAGCCGACCCTCATTGATCGTGCTAACCTTGAGCTTCCAAAATTTTTAAGAGAGCTATCTAATCGCGCCGACGAAATTTATAGCATGCATGCGTGCGCGAAGATGCGAGATTGCAGGGATTGGAAAGAGGAGAAGAGAAGGAAGTGCCCACGCTTGGCATGGCCAGATTGCGGCGTGGGGGACGTAGTCACTCTCCACGCATCGATTTTGGCATGCAGCGCTCAGGCCAATCAGAGGCAGCAAAAAGAAGGGAAAAGGGCGGGAAGAAGGCGAAGGAACAAGAAGAAGGATACAGTTACAGTGGCGCCCGCCCAACGATTACAGTTGCACGCAAGATTAAGGGCGCCGCTTAGTCAGAACTTCATTCCCGCCGAAGGAAGATGCACGCAAGAAAAAGGCGCCGCTCGGCGAGAAATTCAAAAAGTCCTAAATTCCTATCTGAACCCAAAATTGCAACAGAAAAATTCCGACGAGACGGAAGAAAAGCAAAAAGAAATCAAAATTCCGAGAGCCCTCGGGGGCTCGTCCTTAGTTGAAAGGAAAATTTAAATCAAAGGAAAATTTAAAAAGAAAACTGGAAAGCTCCTGCGCGATCATCGCGCCAAAAATCTCAGTTCCCCCCTTTTACTCTCAGTAGAGCAAGGAAGAACCATCGCCAACCGTTATTGATTGCGCCCAACGGGGCGCGCATACTCAACCGTCTACCCCTGGCCTGTCCCATCACCGCCGAAGGGGAAGAAGCGAAGCGAAGGAAAAGAAAGAAGCGAGGACACCGACACAATTTACCCTCTGATCCCACCTCCCGTAATTTGCCCAACCTTCCGATCTCAGGACCCCTCATTGTCATCGCGAAGAAAGTCGCGCGACACAGAAAGTGGTTCGTCACAATACTGGTCCGCAACCTGCTGTATCGCAGGAGGACAGGAAACAGATTCGGCGTCTGTTTGCTCGACCAGAGCTAGAAACAGACGCTCGTGGTCATACTGGCGCGAGAGAGAATTAAACTCCCTCGCTCTCAAACAGTAGCAGCTAGTCTTAGGGTGGTGATCAATGACTATCATGGAAGGCTGATACACCCCCTGCCCATTGGGGAGTTCAACCTTAGGGATCTGCCAGTCAATCCTAGGGTTGACCGCCCTCAGCCACTGCATAGAGAATACCAAATCAAAGGATAGATCAGGGAATATGTCGAAGTTCAGAGCATGTCTGACTTCTTCAGCACTGTCGAAAGTAACAGGTATACCCTTGACCTTCTCCCTGATGGTGAGGACAGTGGAGTCACCTATCCTAACTTGCAGCGGATGCTGCAGTTGCTGAACTTTCATGTCCAAGTGCAATTTCTTGACAGCACTGGGAAACATGAAGTTCCTGGTGGCTCCATAGTCTAACAACCCTTTGATTCTGATGTGATTGATCAGGGGCCGAAGTAGGATGAGATCAGACTTACTTTTTTTTGTTCTTTCAGATGAACGAAGAAAGCAGCAAGTGACTGAAGCTCATTCTCCTCCGGGTCCTGATCCTCTCAATCCTCCACTCTCCCTTGGTATGATCTCAAGATCCAAGAAGGCCTCTGGGAGGCGGATTCAGTGTTGCGCTACTAACTGGATGTGGAATAGATAGTGGTGTGGAGTTCTGAGGGTGGCGAGACACCGGGATAAACTCTGTAACGATTATTGGTTTGAGTTGGCTCATCATCAGTGTGATTCCGATTGTTATCCTCGCAGGTGTCTTCTTGTGATTGGTTGTTGGGAGTCTGTCAGAGAGTGAGAATCACTGTGTGTCTTCTCCCCATCTGTGCATGGTTGAATTCCGCTGCTTATCCTTGTCTGTGTGCAGTTTGGACTCTGTCTCCTCTCCCCTTTGTCTGGTATGTGTATGGGCATGTGTCAGACACTCTGTGTGTGAGTGGCGAGAAAATCGTCAGACGACCAAGTTCATAACAGCTGGTATCGCGAAAATGAAATGCCAAAAGTCCCTAACCTACTGGCTCAGTCCTATTAATAGACTAGCCTACTCTAGACCTAGACCTACTGGACCGGTACCGCATCAGTTTGGCCTGTTCGGCCTGGGCCCTACCCGGCTATACGACGTCTAACCCGTCTCTACAGCCCAAGGCCCAGATGGGCCTGCTGTCCTAGTGATAGCCCGGGTCTGCTAAGGGCTGTAATGGCTAAAGGGAACTCAGGCCTGCTATTTTCATGTAAATTGCAGATATGTCCCTCATGATTTTCCCTCAGGACTAGACCGGCGGTTAGTCCCTGACACAAACAAAATTACGAATCTCACCCTAAGACACGACTATACAACCTTGCAGTCAGATCTCGGCAGCAGAAATCAGCAAGTCATTGCATGTGTGTGTGTGTGTGTGTGTGTGTGTGTGTGTGTGTGTGTGCTCAGGCGTGTTTGCATGAACGGCAAGAAGGAATGCGGTGCATGCTTCGGGAACAGCATGAAGAACACCTAGGGAACAAGGAACTAATGAGTAGCATGAACGAATGCGTGTCTGCCGATGCGTGTGTGTGTGTGTGTGTGTGTGTGTGTGTGTGTGTATGTGTGTGTGTGTGTGTGTGTGTGTGTGTGTGTGTGTGTGTNGAGAGAATATACGACGTAAATCAGGATGGTTGGAAAAATACACACCAAACTTATACCGTACTTCACGTCCCTACCAACCAGCTGCCGGAAATATTTTGAGTACTGAACAGATGGGACTTATTTCATCTACACGTGTATGTACACGAAGCCGTGAGTTAAACTGTGTGTGTGTGTGTGTGTGTGTGTGTGTGTGTGTGTGTGTGCGTGTGTGTGTGTGTGTGTGTGTGTGTATGTGTGTGTGTGTGTGTGTGTGTGTGTGTGTGTGTGTGATCAGGCGTGTTTGCATGTATGTGCGTGTGCGACCTTGCGATGCTTGCACGGTGATGCACATTGGACGAGGGCCAAATCTGAAGCTTGTTCAGTACTTCCTTCAAGACATCCATTAAAATTGAAATGACACAGAGAAGATTAGCATGGCGCATGTGCAAGGATGAGACACGTAAATTGATAGGAAAAGAAGACTACGTAGCTCAGTATTGTTTATGTTGCATACTGCTCTTAGGCTGCTATCATTCAAGCCCTGTATCATCCTGTTCCTGAAGCCCTGATGATGTTGTTCTGTTAAATTGTTTTCGCTTGGCCGGAACAGAGCTCAAGGCTTTGGGAGGGTGTGTATGATCTTCCTTTGATGGTGTTTGTGAATCTGATCTTATGATCCCCATGAGTACGTTCTTGACTCCTATTTCTTTTTGTCTGTACTATTTTTGCTCAGTATCTTTTTGATTCCATCATGCAGACCAGGGTGCTCAAGTGCGGCCACACCATCCATGAGCAGTGTTTAAAGGAAATGGAAAGGCATAACAGGTAAGGTTGCCCCCTCCTCTGTACCTTCCACCTCAGTGGCTGAATGGTACATGCTTAGAACCAATGGCCATAAGATCGTGAATATATGTGTTATTCTTGGACGGTCGTACGGAAGGAAACTGCACTGGAGAAACTCTCTTTTTGAGCACAATGAACTCTTGTGACTGATATGCAGATGGCGACCAGGCGATTTGCAGAAATGATGAAGTTGCAACGCCCAGCTCGATTGCAGTCTGAAAATTCTGCACCTCTCCCAGAAAATGCTGTTCTTTTGTTCTGATTGCTGAGAGACTGAGAGTTCCGATTCTGAGTCTGTTAACTGTGTTTTTAGAGTGTGTATGTGATCTGCCACTAGTGTATGCAAGCCGTGTGCCTGCCTGAGCCTAACTCGGAGTCTGTGTGCTAATTGTGTTGGCTGTGTTGCGTGCCTGTGGCTCAGGGAGGGACAGAATAGAGACGGGTAGAATCAGTGACAGGATGGGAAGTTAGCAGTAGGGACACTTGGGGGCAGAGTAACGGCCAGGGGATGAATTTGCATGACCTACAAGGGTCTCCGGTAGATGTCTAGTAGGTAATGATGAACCAGGGCCTAAATGAAGACAGGGATGTGTCTAGGTTCATGTCCTGCACATAGATATCAGACTGTAATGATGTTCCTGCCAAAAGCAGGAAAATTCAGTAGACCTAGTGACCCAAGGCAGGCCGGTAGAGGTAGAACTTAGGAAGTGCCTGGCCAAGAGGTACTAGAGGCTGGGGAGCTAGAGTAAATGATTGTAGGCAATGAGCCGTCCGCTCATTCACCAAGCAGTCATGCTGCTGCTCTGCATAGAGTGAGAGGCTCGTGGAACACTTGGAGGTGAAGGTGGAAGCTTGAGGGTAAAGAAGAAGACCTCCATGGCTGTGGAGTAGTAGTAAGGGGTGCCAGGAGAAGCCCTAGGTTATGGGGGTAGAGGGAGATGACCTTCCAGGGCGGGCATGGCGGTAGTAGAGAGGAGAGGGCATGAGAGTAGTTGTGCTGTCCTTTGAATGTCCGAGGTAGATTCAGATGGGCCGCCATAGCTAGTAGCCATACCAATTGGAGGAGAGAGGAGCGAGCTAAAGGAGAGCCGTTTCAAGTCTGGCAGTAAGGGGCATCATTCACATATTGATTCTTGTTTGTTATTCTGCAATGAGCCTACGATACACAAGCATCTCACAACGCACTAGATCACACTCCATCAGGTGAAATTTCACACCAAAGATGGGAGCCAACATGAGATATAACTCCGGAAATTGTCTGGCAGTCAGTGTCACAGGTTGCAGCTATGGCCTCCCAACATTCAGGTATGAAGTCACTGTCTCTCTCTGTCAACCCTACTGGGCACGGCTATAGCCGCCCAATAGCATACTCAGGTATGGACGAAGTCCATAAGCTTTATCGGTACCTTTCTAGCTTTCAGATATGTGACAAAACCGTGTTCACAAAAGATTCAGTCCGTCCCTTGAACCGCATCCCATTCTCTTTTTATCATAGTACCGATCGTAGGACTTACTGGTAGTTACTGTACAGGCCAAAGTAGAGATCCGGTAGGATAAGCCGGTAGGAACAGTAGAAGTGCCTAGTAGTCAGTATGCGGAGGTTCGCAATGTGGCAAGTCTTGCTCAAGTCACAGCTCAGGGAGGGCCTAGGATGGTTCGAGTCTTTGTCGGCCTCAGCAAGGCCTGACAGGACCGACGACACAAGCCAGTAGCGAGGTACCTCCGTGCACGAGAGGCAGGCTGCAGCCAGGAACCTCCCCTTTGTCGCTTCTGGCTTATGCGGAGGTGCTGCCACATTATTGTGTGCCGAGTTTCTGGGTGTGTGAACAGCGCCCATCAAGTCAGTAAGGTCCACACAATATGACTAACCTGGAACTTATTTACAACTTGGCCATCACCACCGCCAAGCAAGCATGCAACTCTCTCTCTCTCTCTCTCTCTCTCTCTCTCTCTCTCTCTCTCTCTCTCTCTCTCTCTCTCTCTCTCTGTGCTCAGGTCTCACGATCTCTCTCTGAAAGTCCTTGCTCTCTCTCTCTCTCACTAATGTACTCCCCTACAGCTATGGAGCCCTGCACCGTGTGGATCTAAAGTGCAATGCACGCGCAAAGTCTCAAGCAATAAAGGCGAGAGAGCAGGGTCTTATGGAGTGAAGGCAGAAACTTTTAAAATTCTAAATTGTTCAAGAATTTCAATTGCTGTACTCTCTGCATGCCACTTGATTCGCTCCTGATTGGGTATAAGATCTCTGTCCTTCCAAGAGGTATAGAGTCAGGTATAGAGTCAGCAGAGTCTATAGACCTGTACCCGATATCGCCTGGACTACCCCCCAATCTCTTCACAAGTACAGACTTCAGATTGATTGACTACCTAGGTGGTAACGAGACACTGATTAGTATCCTATACTTGGGAAAGGCACTGACTACCTTGTAGTTAGCCTGTTTGCTATTCTGGGATGGAGTACAAAACATTTGGGCGGCTATAGCCGTGGAGTTGGGCCTTTTCAAATCAGACACTGACTATCCTCGTAACTAGCCTGATTACTATTCTGGGATGGACTACAAAACATTTGAAAAGGCCCAACTCCAGCAAAACGGAGTAGCGGGGAAGAGTACGAGCCATGGACTTCCGGAGCTGGAAACTCCACGGCTAAAATGCCGAGGAATAAGTGAGTGAAATTATTAAGCTTCCAGTGACTCATTACATACACGATACAGATACCCTGATCGCTCTTCTACTGCACTGTGGCCTCATGGTTCTGAAGACATGCGCACAGTTTTCGGTCCGCCCTCTCTTTACTCCTCTTCTCATCCCAGTCCCTCCAAACTTAAATGTCATCGAAGTCAGAACCGATGTCCGACCTCAAGCTACTTTGGTTACACACGTAGTCAGGAAAACAACAGTATGGTTAATTGCCAGAAAGATGTGAAACACCGGTGGAGAAAGGGGGACGGATGGAGATCCAGAGCGCAGAATTTCCCCTGTTTGCATCAAGTTAGTGTGCCTCAGGCACAAACTTGTATTGCACGAGAGGTACATGCGACCGTTAGTTGTTCAGATCCTTCTCTTTTTTTTTGTTTTTTTGTTTTTTTTCTGAAGAGGTTTGCTTGAGCAACCCCAAAATCTTACCTATTTAAAGTTTGAGAATGGGTCGAGGGTGTTTCACCCCCAACCAATCATTCCGTTTAAGTTTACCCCCATGCTAATCTTCTCTGTATATTGTTCCAATTTCAAACGGATGTCCCAAAGGACAGCTCCTCTTTTTTTTTTTTTTTTTTAAGCTCTTTCTCAGGGAGTAAAGTCAAACTCACCGTTTGTGTCCGCTGTTTGTGGTTGTATTACAATAGTACCGTGCCATGTCATCATCATCTTCTCGCCGTTCTCAGCAATCCCTGGAGACGGAGCAAATTCTCTCGTGGGCGTCAGTTAAGGAAGTGTTTAGAATATGTTGTGATTTCCCGGTCAGCTCTTGGATGGGAGGCAATGGAAATGATTTCCCAACACCTATGCTCTATGTGTGTGTATTTTGCGACCGGTTTCACAGCAGCGTCATAACAGCGTGCTGTGTGTTTGCTTGTGCTTCTCCCTTCAGTCGCGAAAGCTTGCTGGCACTTCTGCATTGCATGTTGGCCACCAAATCTGATGCTGGGTGGTTCACATTATCTGTTCCTCTGTTGTTTGTTTTATCTCAATGTGCCTCTGGTGTTGGGTAACTTTGGTTTCATTTGAATGACCCTCTGGTGTTTAGTGACTTCGGTTTTATTTGAATGTGCCCTCTGGTGTTTTGTTTTATTTCAATGTGCCCGTTTTGTGCAGGTATGCTTGCCCCATGTGCTCGAAGTCTACCTGCGACATGAAACTTGTATGGCAGTCACGTGATGAAGAGGTGAGATCTTGGACAGCCACAGAAATTTCTCAAGTTCATGCAATCAGAAATAGAAAGGAGTAGCAGTGTAGCACCCCTTTTTTCTTCATCCTGGCAACTTAATATGAACTATTATGAAGGCCTTGAGCCTATCCGTGTCAAGCCAATGGACTCTGTCTAGGATGACCAACCTCAAGAGTACCCACCAGGAATAGCACGCGTCAGGAAGCTTTTCAGGATGCCCTTTGAGACCTCCAGATTTGACTTGACGCTCACGTTCCCACCAGCCAAGCAAGTCTGCATCGACATTATCCCCATGTGCTCTGGCTATGGCCAAGGCGCCAATGCAGCAAAAACAATGGCCAGCATGTGACTCTCCACCTGGCGTGCACCCTAAATAAATAAAGAATAAATACATAAATGTATTAAATGATAAATTTAAAAAAAATATATAAAGAAGGATGCCCAGAATGGATATGGAGGCAGGGCCATGAGGACCTGTTGGAAAAAAAAAGCAAGAAAGGAGGATGGGTATTCCAGTCATCAGACCTGCGCGTCCAGACCTACAGCACATTGGAAATTAATCCCATGCCTACCGGGAGTGATAGTTAAATTAATAAATTGTCTATCGATTTAGGGGGAGTCTCCAGGTTAAGAAATCAGTGGCATACTGTGCTACTCGCTGGTGGCCCAGCCGGAGGCTGGTGCCTTGTCAGTCTCAGCGCAGATTCCGCAGAATATACAAAAGAACAAAATTAGAACAAAGCTCAAATAAGTGCAAACCCCTGTTTATGGGAACCTGGTACCCCAACCCCCCCCTGGGTAACCCGTCACCCAATTGAAAGATAAGGCTGGATTCTGGCTGCTCAGGCTAAGTGCAGTCCGGGCCTGAAGTCAGATTTTTGTTTTCCGGATCCTGGCCTCTTTTTTGACCGGCCCTCTCCCATGCGGCCCCTGCCCGCCTGATCAGGAGTGCGTGGGTTATGCCTTTTTTTTTTTTTTTTTTTTTTTTTAACCCCCGTAGCATCGTGTTTACATTTGGAAGCGAACCCRAACATKTTCYCCCGAACGCGAACTAGCGCCCCAAACCCCCCAAACACGATCATAAAAAAAAAAAAAAAAGAGGCTGAGAAAAATCTGAAAAAAATGTGTCATGTAAAACAACAATACAAGCAACTTTTGCCTTGGAGTTATGTTCAAATTCTTAGCCAAACGTGAGTTAACAATAAAAAAACAAAAAAAATAGAAAATTAATTTCGTTTTTTGAAAAAAATGTATGCTCGCCCGAACACGTTCGCGAGCTGTCTGCGCGAAAGCACGAACACGTTCGCTGTGCTACGAAGATCTTAAGGACATCGATCGGATTTATCATTTGCTCGTGGGACCAGCATCCAGCATATGATTTACTCACTCAACGCCTTTCTTTAAAAAAAAACAAAAAAAAACCTGGGTGGGGATCCGGGCCGCCCGGCTGACTGGCGGGGGCCCGGGGAGGTCCCGGGCGGCCTGGCCGGGCAGGGCACCCGGTTGGGGGCCGCCCCCCCCCAGCGCACTCACCTGTCTGGGGGTCTCGGACCCCCTTTTCGCTGCTGTTGGCCTCCTGCAGGCCTTCCGGGTCCAGCCGGCCTGAAAAACCGTCCTGTCGGGCCCCGTAGGCCTGCTGGATTTTTGAAAATTTGTGACGGCTCTGTGGCCGTCGATCCACCATGATCGACGGCCACAGAGCCGGTGGATCCAGGCGCCAAACTTCCCCCCGTTCAAACCCGGGATTGGCTGGGGTGGTCTGCCACTCGCCCCCCAGCACGATCGGAGTTGCTCCTGTGCCGTCGCCCGTCGCCCGTCGCCATCGCCATCGACAGTCCTGCTGCAGCTGCTACAACGAAGGCCCCGACTGTCCTGCTGCTGCTGCTACGACGAAGGCCCTGACTGTCCTGCTGCTGCTGCTGCTACGACGAAGGGCCCGACGACGAAGGCGCCGTTCTTCTTCTTCTTCTTCTTCTTCTTCTTCTTCGTTTTCTTCTTCGTCGTCGTCTTCTTCTTCTTCCTGTCGTAATCGTTTAGGGTTGTGTTGGACGGGCAGACAAAGGCCCTGCTGCTAGGGTAACTGTTGCAGGTAATGACGAAGGCCCCGACGAACTTCTTCTTCTTCTTCTTTCTTCTTCTTCTTCTTATTTCTTCTTCTTCTTCTTCTTCTTCTTCTTCTTCTTCTTCTTCTTCTTTCTTCTTCTTCTTCTTCTTCTTCTTCTTCTTCTTCTTCTTCTTCTTCTTCTCCTTCTCCTTCTCCTCGTCCTTCTTCTTCTTCTCCTCTCGTCTTCTTCATCTTCCCCTCGTCCCCGTCGCATTTTCATCTTCCTCAACCTTTCTTCTTCTTCGTCGTCTTCCACTCCCCTTCTCCCACACTCGTTTTCTTTCTCCTCCTCTTCTTCTTCTTCTTCTTCTTCTTCTTCTTCTTCTTCTTCTTCTTCTTCTTCTTCTTCTTCTTCTTCTTCTTCTGCTTCTGCTTCTGCTTCTTCTTCTCCTTCTTCTCCTGCTCCTTCTTCTTCTTCATCTTCTAGTTCGTCAACATTCGGGAGGTCACGTGAGACACGACAGGTGAAAAAAAAAAAAAAAGGAAGGCCGTCTTCCTCCCCCTCTTCCGCTTATCTTCTTCCTCTCCTCCTCTTCTCGTCGTCCTCTCTTCTTCTTCTTCTTCCCCTCCTCCCGCTCACGTTTTCATCTTTCTCCTCGACCTTTCTTGATCTTCTTCTTCTTCCCCTCCTCACCTCTCTTCTTCTTCTTCTGCTGCTCCATTCGCTAGGTCTTCTTCTCTCCTCTTCTTCTTATTCCCGTCCTACCCTTCTCCCTCCCTGCTCTTCTTCTTCTTCTTCTTCTTCTTTTTCTTTTTCTTCTTCTTCTTCTTCTTCTTCTTCTTCTTCTTCTTCTTCTTCTTCTTCTTCTTCTTCTTCTCCTTCTCCTTCTTCTCCTTCTCCTTCTTCTCCTTCTCCTTCTTCTTCTTCTTCTTCTTCTTCTTCTTCTTCTTCTTCTTCTTCTTCTTCTTCTTCTTCTTCTTCTTCTTCGTCTTCTTCTTCTTCGTCGTCATCGTCCTCGTCGTCGCCTTCTTCTTCGTCTTCTTCTTCTTCGTCGTCATCTTCGTCGTCGTCTTCTTCTTCTTCGTCGTCTTCTTCGTCGTCTTCTTCGTCGTCTTCTTCGTCGTCTTCTTCTTCTTTGTCTTCTTCTTCTTCTTCATCCTCCTCCTCCTCCTCCTCCTCCTCTTCTTCTTCTTCTTCTTCTTCTTCTTCTTCTTCTTCTTCTTCTTCTTCTTCTTCTTCTTCTTCTTCTTCTTCTTCTTCTTCTTCTTCTTCTTCTCCTTCCTCTTCTTCTTCTTCTTCTCCTCCTCTTCTTCTCCTTCCTCCTCTTCTTCCTCTCCTTCTTCTCCTTGTTCTAGTTCATCGACATTCGGTAGGTCACGTGATACACGACAGTTTACAAAAAAACGAAGGCCGTCCTCCCCCCTCATACACCCCCCACCCAGACCAACCCCACCCACCCACCCCCCAAAACCAAAATTTTATTGCGGATTCGGGGTCCTCTCGCCGAGCGCAGAACGACCCGGTTTTCACAAAAAAAATAAAAAATTCTGGACGTTTTTTTGGCCCTCCCGGGCCCAACCGGCCGGGCGGCGTCCTCACCCAGAAAAAAACGAAAAAAAAAGACAGGGTGCTCCATGTCCATTCTGGGGAGCGTCAGTCCGGTTCCTTTTTTTTTTTTCAGGGCCGTGTGGTCCCGGCTCCATTCTATTCTGGGGAGCGTCAGTCCGGTTCCTATTCCACCGGCAAGTCAAAAATTATTACATCGTTGGGAKTYACTCACGCTTCCTTCCGTCTGGCCGAAGGACCCCTGGACAGCATTGATTGCTCCACCTCAGTGGAGGATTGACTGCCAGCTTGCCCATCCCCTCTCTTTCCTCTCAGACCGGGCAAATAGGTCTGCCAAATTTCATCGCAGAATCCTAGAAAGAGTCCCTCTATTGTGAACA